TTGTTCGAGGGGATTACAAGGGGTATTTATGTCTTCAAGTTAATGGAGAGTGATGCGAAATGATGTCTTCCACAAGAGTTATGATGTCAAGTTTCCTCAAGTAAAGGAATACAGTGATGACTCAAAGCAATTCCTGACCACAAAAAAGAAAGAAAGAAAAGTTGCTGAACTGATTTATGGCTATTTTCAACTTTTATATATATATATATATATATATATATATATATATATATATATATATATATATAACATGGTTGGAAAAAAATTGAAAAATATGATATTTATAACTTGTATCTATTTAGAATAACAACATTTTAAAAAAAAATTAAAATGAGCACAAGAGAGGAAAAATAAATAAAAAATAGACCCTAAAAGTACATCGAACTACGATTATGACACCATTAGTACCATAAAAAATATTTCAATGAAATGAATCCAATAACATTAAAAAAGATCACCAACGATGATCCGATCATGTCACACTTGACGTCTAAAGGTGGTGAATGACTCACTTGTCTTTGGTAGGAAGTGTGGCCTACTTGGATCATCTTTGGAGGGTTTTTTTTTGTGTCATTGAATTTGTGTGGTCAATATCTTTCTTATAGTACTAATTGTGTTGTAATCGGAGCTTTGATGTGTCTTATAAATCTTTTTATTTTTCTCTCTCTCATCTCTCCTACCCATTTCATATCTATTTTTTAAAAGTCGTTATTCTAAATATTGATAATCTATAAACATAACATTTTCCAATCATAACATGTATAAACTATGTTATTTAACCAATTCTTTTTCAAATTGTGCTATTTAGCAATATTTTTAATTTATTGTGCTAATTGTTTTTAAATATGTTTTTACCATTAACCTATTATGTAATAAGTCACATTAATATGTTATATCATTGTTCATAACTATACTTTTCTTTTAGATCCCTAAATTTTTCCTACACTCAAATCATTGAACTTTATTTCATTTCAATTTTATCTTTATATACAAGTTATGTTTGCATGGTTTTATATGTTAAGATATGTTTTGATTTGCATGTTTTCGCACATCTGACATATCATAAAATAATTTGAAATTAAATTAAAAATTTATTTTATGAAAGATAATTTTATGTTATTATTAAAAAAATAAAAAGACTAGGAATCAAAACTAAAATAAGAAAAAATAAGATGTCTTTACAATTACACTTTTCAAAAGATAGGAAAGTTCAATTTGGTCCCTCAAGTTCACTCTTTTGCATTATTGGTGCCTATTCTTTTTAACTTTTATATTTTAGTTATGAATAAGTCAATAGAAGTGGTCAAAAAACATGAACTTTAATTTTTGGTCATCAAAGCCACCTTCGATGATTGAAAGATATTACAAGTAGATGATGTTTTGTCTATTTTCTTTGTGTTTTATTTTTAAAAGATAAGGACATGCGACGTATTATTTGTCTTTAAAAAAAGATAAGCAAGCATATTTGACTTCCAAACCCAAGCATACTTGACCTTTTAACTTTAGGTGAGGCTCCTAGACTCATCATTTCAATCCAAGGGCACTTGGTTTTTTTTTTTTATGTTTTTTTTTCTTTTCTAAATTACCCTTAATTTTTTTATTTGATTTGTTTTCTTACCTTTTATAATAAAATTTTCTTTAAATAAATTTATTAAAATATTATTTAAATAACTACCCAATCAAGCCATAGTTTTCAAATAATATTAAAGTATTTTATTGCAAAATTAACAATTACTTTCTGAATAATTATAAATAAACCTAATATGCATAATTTTAAAAAATATTTGCTCATGAACACTCAATGCGAATAAAATATCTGTAGATTTTTTATATATTTTCTAAAATTTATTATTCTTATATGTTTTTATATATTATCGTAAAAATTATCGATTCATGATTTTTTAATCAATTTTTATATTTGGCCAAATACGAAGTTTCTCCTCATCTTACATGATAATAACTAAAAAAACCTTTTAAAAATACCAAATTGCCCTTTGATGCTAGTATTGAATTTTTTTACTTTTAACGATATTTTGATCTTTTCACCGTGCTTTTAAACTAATAATAATAAAAAAAAAACATATTTGTCTCTGATTAATTTAATAATAACTTATGGGTTATGTTAAAAGACATTAATACCCCATTAGCTCATTTTAAGTTTTCAATGAGAGAGACCAATACTTCATTACACTATTCCGACAAGGAATGCCAATGAATGTGTATTACATTATTTTTCAACCAAAGTTTAGCTTTTGTTAATTCCTGCATGTTTATTAATAATTCTGAATTCATTTATCCAAAAAGTTGATGTAAATTACCTAAAAAGGAATTAAGGTACCCGGTGTTAAACCAACACTTTCAGCATGAATTTATAATAATAAGTCTGCTTTCTATGATTGTGCATTTTTTGGGGGTTCAAGATACATTGTGGGATGCCTCTGGCCGCCATCACTTCCCCGATTGCTACATTGAAGATGGAGTAGATCTTATATATAGTGTTGGCCAATCTTTTTACGAGGTAATGAAGATTTGTCATGTATTAATCTTAATTTCTACGCCAAATTGATTAATTATGCATGAAAATCATTTTCTAAGTTATTAATAGTTCCTAATGAAAAAACTCTTGCCATATAATTTATTTTTTAATGCTTTGATGTGCATAAGATGCCACTACACTGTATACTTTGTAGTGGATTGTGCACTAAAATCTTATACCATATACAATACAAAAAAACATCTAATCAATTAAAAAGAATCCACATATTTCAATATGTTATAGAGGTTAGAGAATAATTTCACATAACAGTTTAAGTTATTGAGTTGAAACAGTTCTTTAACATAATATTATCGAAGCCTTAGTTATCAAGCGGTTACGAGTTCAAATCTTATTATTCATATTTATTTGATAAAAATTAAGCACAAAGTAATGTGAGCATGTGCAAGATTCAAACTCAAAAGATTTTTATTCGAGGGGGTATCTTAAAAAAATAATATAGATTATATCTCGGGATCTCACCTAACAGTTTAAGTTATTGGGTTAAAACAGTTATTTGATATGTTATCGAAATCTTAGTAATCAAGCGGTCACGAGTTCAAATCTTATTATCCCTATTTATCTGAAGTGGTTGAGCCCGCAGGCTGGAGTTCTTGGCATTATCAGGGGCATGAGCTGTAGGTTATGCAGAATTCAAGAGCTATCCACGATGATTTCCTATTTTGCATGATTTAATTTCTTTATGTTTACTCTGATTTCAATTTTCTGTTTTTCAAGGCGTAATTTTACCAATGCGGAGGTTAATTGTAGAGGACGAGGATCAGACATTTCAAAGCGTGTGCCATGGGAGAAGAAGCTTGATGCACAGTAGATCAATCCATTTTCAAAGTCATCCTTCATTGACCAAGATGGCTGGCTTGCCAAACTCCCTCCTTGATCAGTGTTATAGAACCATTTTCTATGTACTTTTTTTCTCTAGAATTAATGGCATGCAATCATCACTGTTTAATTTAACAGTTTTATTAACAGAAATTTTTTTGTTAATATATTTATAGAATAATATATAATTTATAAAAAAATTACAACTTTCAATTTAATTAGTGTATATTTATTAACCAAATCGAACCGATTTTTGGTCTGGTTCAGGTAACATTCTCAAAAAATTATAACTTTCAATTCAGCTAGATTTTTTAGCTTGAATCGGACCGTGAACAACCCTTACCCCTAGTTTATATTGAATTTTTTTTTTGACACCCACAAGAAAATTCATTCATGGTAGATCAGTATGGAGCATATAAAATTTATGTTTTGATTCACGATACTAACAATAAGAATCAACCTGCAAAAGGATCAAACAAGGTTTCAGCGGTCCACGTCTCTTACTATCAAGCAAGCAAAGTTTTGCTATCTCAAAATAAGTAGGCATAGACTACAACTGTAAAGTCCTTTCCTGTTAAGACATGGGACCAACATCATCGTCATGTCTGCCTGATATTTCAGCTAAGCAAATTGATAGAAATCAACAATTCTGTAACCCTAACTGTCTCCAGCAGTCAAGGTAGATAACTTGGACCGTTAAACCACATTTTAAACTGATTTTATTTATTTTTAGCATAAGCTCAAAACATTATAAAATGTTTTTTTAACACGAAAGTGCCGTAGCAAGAAAGGGATGGGAAAAGACAGGATAGAATAAGTCAAGCAATATGTCGATCATGGTTGGATGGACGAAACTTGATAGGAACTGTTCACATGCCTCTCTGGGTTTCTTGTCTTTCCCATGTCTCCTTCATCACAAACGCTTACAAAATTGTATATGCTTCTACACAACACACACACACAATTATATATCATCGAATTCTCCACTCATTAATACCATTTTTTACATCAAAATAAAGAGAAAGGGTCATCACTCTTTTCTCACTTATCAAATATTTCTCATAGTATATTAATTTAAACATACTATATAGATCTAGATAAAATACATTGAATTAATTTACAATTTCATATCTCTACATTAATTACATAGAATGATTTGATAAATGGTCGCAAAGTTGAAACAACTGGTTGAGTGTACCTGTAACACACAAATAATATAAATTATAAATTATTCGTATCCATATCCATGAATCTAGAACCTTCACCAACTTAAAAAAATAAAAACATAACAATACATATACATACATACATACCCATTACCATAATATTTCTATCAACTTTAGAAAGAATTGTATCACTTGCGATCCTCTCAAAATATATTCCATCTATAATATATTTTCATTTCACTCCAATCTTTTCATTTAAATACCATGTCTTAATTTCTCTTTACATCATGCATAGTATACCATCATAGTATTCATCTTTTCTAGTTCTATATTCTTACATTATGGACTTTGTAGCTCTCTTTTTGTTATTAATGTGAGTGTTTGGGTTAATTTGCGCGTATCTCGATTAATCTCACGGGTCTTGAACTTAACGATCATATAAGCCTCTAGTGGTTATCATAATAGCAACCACAGGGATCGAACCTGAGATCACAGGAGGAACAAACTCCTTAATCCCAAACTCTTACCACTAGGCCACCTGCTAGATGATTTCCTTGTAGTTCTTTTCATCATACTGATCGAATAATTATCTACTCAAACAAGGACTTAATAGTAATTGAGCATAACCATAGCCTCATTTATTCTCAATTCTAAGAATTCATTCGATCTTGAAGACAATTCACTAACAATAAATATCATGCTACGATTCCACATTTTTCCTTTCTAAATTGGCAGTCAAAGTTACATTCGGAGTCCATCAATCCAATCCACCCTTAATAACACAAGTCTTAATATCTTTTATACATAATATCTTCAGCTTATTTTTGTTAATAAGGGTTTATACACAAGCTCCATGCATATGGTCGATATCCCTAGATATTCAAGGCCACATAGCCATGACTATCATTGTGATACGTACTCTATATCCTCCATACATTATCTATTATTAAATCTCCAAATTTGAATTTGTATTTCACGTCGATAATGTACTCCTTGGCCAATCTTGATCACTAAAACTTATGTGTTTTTTTTTTTATTTTTAATTTGATTCATTTGTTATTATTATTATTTTTTGTATTATCCAATTAAAATAAAATCAATTTATTTCACCCCGTTCAGTTTATAATTTAAATTACAAATTAGTTTTTATCCTTTAAAATATACTTGCGTTCCTGAACATTATTTTTTTATGTAAAAAAAAAAACTACGGCATTATATTAATGCCCGGTAGTCTTTATCTATGTACTCATTTATATTTATAAAAAGTAAATAAAAAAATTAATTCTAAATCCCATTAAACATATAAATCAATCACAAAATCATAAACATTTGTTTAGTTTGATCTTTATTAATGGAAGTTAAGTATATAATTGGTGTTATCGTAGTTTTTTAGATTTAAAAAAAAAACTATAAATCTTTCTTAACCATGATTTTATAACTATAATTTAACCACACAGCAATACACACTCCTAAAGGGGAGCCAAAGTCCCCCCAAAACGATTGAAGGCAGTCAAGACACGAAGTCCTAGGTTTGCTGTCGGAGCAGTCCATTTCACTTTCAAAAAGGCCCGACTTAAATCCATCCCATCTGGACCATCTTCCCCAATTTCCTAATTAGACAGAGCCTTCAGACATTGCTTCTCTGCTCAGAGAATCATCAAAATTTATGCCTCAACGATGGCTGGATTGCTTGGAGATGTGGAAGATAAGACTGTTCATGTCTACAAATGATACTTTCTTTCACACCCACAAGAAAATTCATTCCATAGCAGAGTGTGGAGCTTAGGAAATTCAATGTTTTGATTCACAATACTGACGATGAGCAACAACCTGCCATGGATTCAAACGAGGTTTCCGTGGTCCTCATCTCTTACTATCAAGCTAGCAAAGTTTTGCTATCCCAACATTGCGTTCCAAGTAGAGAGTAGGATAAATTTTCAAAAAAATTTATTTATTTTAAATTAATATCTTTTATATTTTTATATCATTCTAATGTGTGAATATTAAAAAAAAAAAAAAAAGTATTTTGATGTATTTTCTACTAAAAAATACTTTGAAAAACATCTATTATTATACTTTTAAATATTTTTAGAGCGCGTTTGGAAACGCTGTTGAAACCAAGTTTCCTCAAAATTTAATTATTTTTACTAAAAAATATATTTTATATATTTTTATATTATTTTAAAATATTTTAAAATAAAAAATATTTTAAACTCAACTATTATCACAATCCAAAACAGCCTTTAAACTAATCTATAGAAATCAACAATTTTGTAACCCAAACTGTCTATAGCAGTTAAGGTGGTGTCATTAAGAGATAACCTGAACACTTAAACTAAATTTAAGGAGGAGCTTGGAAAACCGATAGAAATTATATTTTTGAAGTATTTTTTTATTTAAAAATATATTAAAATAATTTTTATTTTTTACATCAATATATCATAACAATTTAAATTTTTTAAAAAAAAATATTTAAAAGTAAAAAAAATAAAAATAACAAAATAATAATTCAATAGCAGCTTCATATGGTCCCTTAAAACCAACTCTTTTTTTTATTTTAGCATAAGCTCAAAACATTATAAAATGTCTTTTCATACGAAAGTGGCATAACAAGAAAGGGAAGGGAAAAGACAAACGCAAATATGTCGAGCAATTCATCCATCACTGTCTTTGGTGTCCATCTTTTTTCTTGATAGGAACTGTTCACATGCCTCTCTGGGTTTCCTGCCATTCCCATGTGTGCTTCATCACAAATGCTTACAAAAAAAAAATTATAACGTAGATATCATTTCTATATCTTAAATAACTGTAATTACATCCTGTTTTTAATATTTTATTCAATTAATATCAACTGTGACTGCAAAAATCAACAATGCCAGAATATTTCTAAGCTGCTCTAAAGCTGTTTTTGCAGATAAAAGAAACAGAGATAAAGACTTGTAATAAGTGAGATTAAGAACTAAGAGAAGAAGAAAAAACTTTGAAACCACTCTCTTAGATATACAGTGAAAGAAGGAGAATCATAATCAAGAATGCCAGATTACATTTAATATACTACGGAATCTATTTGTGGAGAGCTTCCTGACAAGTCTTTTAGCATCAGAAACTTCAGCTTCTGCAAGTTTTTCTATGTTCTTCAAATAACCAGAACTGGCAATCTTTTTTCTTCCACTATTGCAACTTGTTAAGGACAATAATATAGAGATCAGTAACTTTTTGCTACCTGAATTTGCCTCTTCTTGGTCGAGCAATTGAAGAAGAAAGATCACATTGCGATCGTCCTGCACGAATCTCTTACGGTTTTTAGGCACCGAAACTAAGCTGGAGAGTGCCACAGCTGCCATCTCTCTAACTTCAAATGATTTTGCATCAACAAACTTAACAAGCTCTGACATGAATCCTGCATCCCCCATTGCCTTTTTAGTTTCCTCTGATTTTCCACAGAGCCTAAATGCTGCTTTCAGTGCCATTTCTTGAACCGAAACATCTCCATTTCGAAGAAAGAAAAGAAGCTGATCCATAAAACCATAATTCATCAGCATAATGATATAAACAGTTGAAGAGAAACATAGATTCTCAATTGCCCTTAATGCCATCTCTCGAGATTCTGAAGAACAAGCGCTTTTCGGATCAAAAACCCGTACTAATGCCCGAATTCCACCTTCTCTGGCCACCAACTGCCTCACTGAATCGTCTACAGATGCAATATTTTGAAGGAACTCGATCGAACTTAGCTGCACAGCTTCATCTTTTGATCTTGCCAGCTTGATTAATGCAGGAACTGCACCTTCTTCAATCATAAAGCTCTTTATTTCATCAACACCAACAAGATTTCTCAATATCCCACAAGCAGGGCAAACAAGTGCTGTTCTAGAATCAACACTAGTACATATTTTCAGTAGAGCTGTCACACCCCCATAAGCTGAAACTGACCAAGCATTTTCAGAATTCTCAGTTAATTTTTGCAAGCTTCTTGCAGCACCCTCCTTGCTTATTTCACTGCCACTCTCCAAAACCCTGATCAAAGGCCCTATAATCCCAGCTCCAATCAAAACAGATTTGTAGGAATCGAAGCCCGAAATCACTGCCACGACCTTTGCAGCCTCTTGTTGAATTTCCAATTCCACTGAATCAAGAAGACTAACCAGTATATTCACTATGTCACCAACTTCGACAAGTATCTTCACATACTTGTCATCTTCAACAACAACATCATACAAATTGAGCAAAGCCTGTCTCTTCATTTCCAAGTCACCAATTTTCATTCTTGTCAACAGATCTCTAATGTAAAACCTCATATCATCTTTGCAAGCATTGACACCAGGCCTAGACACAACAATGGCAAAACCCTGAGTCAAAATGCCTGTAGTACAAATCCCAAATAGATTCTTCACATGTCTCTCAAACTTAGCAACCATTACATCCAAATCACTCTGCATCAAGAGCTTGCCATTGTACGAAAGATCCACGCATCTTCTAGCAAGATCATAGCAGTCACTAGCAGAGGCTGCGATAGCAGATATCATGCCTGAAAGTATTGGATTCTGGATTGAATCACAATTCTCTAGGGCAGTCAGGCTTGAGCATAGCTCTTCTAGCTTGTTTCTAATCAGTTGCCATTTCACGGAAAAAACTTTAATTGGATGAGAGTAGGAGATCAAAGAAGAAATAACCTCAATAGCTTGCCTGAGACTGCACATTGGCTGTGAAGATTCTTGAAAGATCTCGTCTTGTTTGTGAACTTTCTCTTCCCAAGTTTTTGTTTATCAATGATTTTGCAACAATCCCATTTGGAATCTACCTATCAAGGGAGGAATCTAAGCGGTGAAATCTTCTTTAAGATAGAGATAGATAGAGTGCGAGCCTGCATATCTATCCATGTAGCAATGCCATCTAGCTGTCTATCTTCCGACTTAAAGTTGTGAAGTTGAAACTGAATTGAGTTGCTAACTAGATGCTTTGGTTGTTCATTGGCAAATTACATTAATGTCATCAAGGTTGGAAGGGCATTTTGTCATTTTAGAGGGAGGAAATGGGGTTTCTGCTGTGTTGACTGTGGAGTCTGTTGGAAGTTGGGGAGAGAGATCAGAAATGGGAGATGGTCAAAGGGTGAGTTAGTTACTTCCATTGGTGGGTGATGCCAAGGACAGAGGTGGAGAGGTTTTATCTTTTCTTAATTCTAAAAACAATTAGGTATATTTATAAAGTTGTTTGATTATGTTTAATTCATCCTAAATCAAATATAATATAAAAATAACTATTTTACCTTGTAATTTATTATCAAATATAATTTTATTTCAACTGTTATTCTAATTGGTGTTTTCGATATTTTTGTTAAGAGTTATTTGATGATATTAATATGTTTATTTAAAAAATATATACATTTAAAAACATTACCATATATTTCATTAATACCATTTATTTTTATTTGAACATTTGATTTTTACTCTTTAAAATAATCAACAATAAATTAATGAGATTTAATTCATATACACAGATGATGCTTAGCAAGTGTTTCAAGAACACTCGTTAGCTTTTCCCATA